TGTGTTGCACGTGATCATACAGCCTCTGGTTGTCATCTGACGTCGATCTGGGGGGTGATAGACGATCCCAAGTAGAATAGAAGAGACTTATCTGGGTAACTGAAAGGGTCGAATTTGTAACCACATGACTTCAGATTTCAAGTCAGTCTGGGGTTCAAGCTGCATGGGATAGATGAATTGGCATAAACGGCTAAACCCCCACCATGAGAGCCACGATCTTTACGAAACAGAACAAAATCACGTAAAGCCACTGTTGAATTCGGTTTTTCGTCAGTGAGCCAAGTCTCAGTGATGCAGGCTGTGTCCACATTATTGAGCCTTAGGATRCAAGTTCATCGACCTTGTACATTAATGAGCAGATATTACATATGAACAAGGATGGAATCACACCAACACGTGTTCTAGTGGAGGTGCCATCAATGTTCGTTGAGGATCGTAATGGGCTACCTGTGTTGTTGTCCACATGGTCGCCATTTTTATTTGGGTTTCGTCGATTCTTCTTTCGTTTAGAACGGAAGGGTTTTGTATTCCTAGGTCACCCAGTCGTTTCCACAGATCGGGAGGACGTTTTTGCTTCAATTGGCTTTCTTTTGAGATTTCAGGAAGATGTTGGAGTATAATCAACGACTCGAAACTAGATGTTGTGAATCAACGTGGACTTCTTGCAGAACCGTCTCAGATTTAAGATAGTAGAAACCAACAAAAAGGTTGGCAAGATTGAAGACTGTCTGCACAAATACCAAGGGGGGCATCCAATAGACAAACGTGGGCCACATATTGACGCTACATACACAATGAAGCTACAAAATACTTGAAAAATGCGAAGCACAAAATAGTGTGGCAGCCATTACTGGCGCCGCTGACCCTTGCCTTACCCTTAACCCTGRGATAAAAGCGTTATACCCTCGTTTTCATTATGATGTACAAAGAGTAGAACAATCAAAATAGCATTTAACTTTTGTAAGCCTAAAACGTATTAAAATTTCTGAATGAAATTATAAGATATCTCCATGTTTTTTGTCAATACTCCCAGCCTCGTTTCCTCGTTTCATGTGTCCCCTGTAATACAAAAATGGGACTTTGCTTGCATCAAGACTAATACCCGAGTACAACTGGTCACTTTATCTACAAATCCTTCATTACGATAGCATTTCCAGCTTTTATTTGATTTGAGCCTCGTTTTCGTGCAAGAATGGTCACATGATCMCCTTTAATTACAAAATCTCTACTTATATGGCTTCAGTGCTATTAGATTAGTATAATTTGTGAATTTGGAGTCAATTCAGTCAGTATTATAGATGCTATGAGCAATTATAGATTTCCAGCCTCGTTTCCATGCTGGTTCGCAGGTGTGTCATACTTCTTCTCGGCGACCAGCGACAAGAGGCAATTCGACGCCGAAAGAGACGAGACATACACGTTAGCGCTCGTTAGCGAACTTTGCAAAAACATTTGTGAGTAATAAGAGGAAAACACGCAAAACTCTTCTTTTCATAAACGGAGTGTCTAAACGTCAGGCAGCATGACGTTTAGTCCCAGAACTAAACGTCAGGCAGTCTAATTTTTTCTTAAAAAATCGTTTGAACAACAGTTATTTCAATTAATACACCGATTCGAAAAATGGCGGCCGGCTCGGTAAGCGCGGACGGACTGGTAACGAAAAACATGATGTTGAGGCTAGTCAGTATACGCTTCTTAGGTTTTACCGTGCACTTCCTCATGTTTACTTCGAAATATGGCTTCAATGGTTTTTTTAGAAGAAGACGATATCCCCGGAGCTTCTTTAGCGGGTAGAATACCTTCTCAGCTTAATGTACATGAGCTTAAGCATTCTGGCTTCAATGCCGTGGTGACTCGTGTAAGGGACTTAAAACGAAGGCACAATTCGTGAAAAGGTGAGAAATCTTYGCGGTTACTTATACAAACAACTAAGAGATTATATATACTTTGATATTTCGATTCCATTTGCAATACTTGATTATTTCACACGGACTAAGGAAGAAAGATTGCATTTTAACTATGAAACCACGTACATGGGATCGGCGTTGGTTTTTCTTCCGGCGTCTTTGCAGCTTCGCGCGCGTTGTTTGCTTCGCGCGTTCGTAGATTTAAAATAAAAATCTTAACAGCTTTCCTAGTTGAAATTCATGTTCTTTAACATAGGGTCGAGGAATATATAAGTTCGGGCCGCGACAAGAATATAGTTGATCCCGACGAAGATAAAATCTTTACGAAGAGGAAACAAAGACTGTCCTCCATTCAACAACAAAGCAAAACCTCTACGAATACTCGTAGTCCTGCCGTAAAATATCCATTAGATGGATGGTTAACAAATCTGTCAAGACTACCGATGTTTASTCGASCTGAAATAGACCTACATATCTCCAAATCGGGGAAATCTTTCGATGGGAAGTCAAGTGACGTTCAACATACAGTTCCCACGTGCATGAGAAAAGCCAAAACATTCCTTGAAGATGAATACCTAAAAGAGATAACTGCTACAAGTGATGATCACCACTTTTATATAAAATGCTTGTGCCACCACAGCTACAGGAAAAACGATCCACCACATAATTTAAAAGTAGCTTTGGATTTAATAACAGGAGAAGTTAAGCATTCAAACTGTTCCTGTGTGGCTGGACAAGTTGGATTTTGTAATCATACATTGGCTTTAATGTTCAAAATATGCAAATTCTGTCTTTATGGATCAGATTTAGATAATGAAGATGACATGACTCCAAAAAGAGCTTGCACTTCTTCTTTACAAATCTGGTAGCCAAGAAAGTATAAAACCCCAGCCTGTCATGGAGCTGTCAGTTAAGAAAACAAAACTTGATGACACCCACACCTCTGCTAAAGATCCTGGCATCCACTGCCTTCTATATGAAGCAAGGAACTCAGTTGCCCTTCAGAAAGAGAGGGAAAATACACTACAACAAAAGTTGAAAGAAATTAATTCTAACATGGCATTAGCACAAATAATGACTCCTGGTAATGAAAACACTGAATATGTGGACACTAAGTTTGGTAAATGCCCTAAAGGATCATATGGTAGCTATCAACTTCAATTTACAGAAGCAAATTTTCAAGTCTTTTGTAACATTGACTCTGTTACAAGAACAGCAAATGAGGTAGAAGCATTAAATGAGTTTCCTCAATTTCCCTGTGGTGATATGATTCAATCTAATTGCACAAGTGATGTTGAAACAGAACAAAAACTCTTGGATCATCTAGCAGTCAACAAAGAACAACTCAATGAAATTGAACGAAAAACTAAAGCTCAAGCAAATTCTGATCAATGGAAAGAGGAGAGAATATTCAGGATAACTGCATCTAACTTTGGATTAGTAATGAAACGGCAAAGAAATCATGATTCGCTTGTAGATACCTTAATAAATCCAAAGCCATTTTCATCAAGATACACAGCCCATGGCAACAAATATGAGTCAATAGCATTGTTGGAATATCAGAAGTACATGTATTCTATAAGGCAGCCAGTGAAAATATTCAAGTCTGGCTTCATAGTTTGTTTAGWGATGCCAATTCTAGGAGCTTCACCAGATGGTTTGGTCATCGATAACAAATGCACTGAAAAATGTGGTCTAGTGGAGATTAAGTGCCCTGCAACAAAATTCTCAGTCTCTCCATTAGATGCTTGCTCAGATCCTGGATTCTATTTGGAAGAAGTAAATGGGAAGCCAACACTTAAGAAGAATCACAATTATTATTCACAGGTATTGTATTGTTCATAAATAATGTTTTCCTTAATATTACATACCTTAAAGATAAATATTTTACAATGTCATGTAGAATAAAAAGAAAACTTAGACAGAAATAACATTTTTAATAGGATCCACCTACATTTTGACTGCATTTTGACATTCCTATTTTCTCTTTTTTTAAGGTCCAAGGTCAATTGGGAGTTACTGAGTTACCCTGGTGCGATTTTGTTGTGTATACAAGTGGTGGTATGAGTATAGRAAGAATTCCATATGATCATCATTATTGGTWAACAATGAAAAATAAATTAAAGTCTTTTTACTTGAGTCATTTCCTTAGTAAAGCAGCCACAAAATTCGTTAGAAATGACTAAAAACATCAGAACTTAATCATTATTTAGTTTAAGCATTAAATAATTTTGGTCATTACATATCATACATGTAAAGGATGATGACACAACCTGTAAAATTGATAATACTGTATATAAGATTATTACTAGATTATTACGGAGATTCTTTCAAAAGTTGAAAAGGCTATGATAGAAAGTAAGATGATTATAGCAAAATATAACAGATTTCTTTGTACATGTACTTGTTATGAGAARAACGCATGTAGTCTACTTCTAGTATAGTAACTTGTGAATAGACACTGAATAATAAGTTTTTCATCAATAGTTCTTTGTTCTTTTGTAATATTATCATAGGATTTTTGACATTTTTGAAAAATGAATATTAGCAATGGGGACATATATGTACATGTAAAATATTATTTATCCTCATAAAGTTAWAGTTATGAAACAACCTGTGAAACAGGAACTTCAAGAAAGCATTGGTACACTGTATATACAATTCCACAATTCCTATTATTATTACATCATTTTAAAAGTTGAAAAGATTGTATTAGTCAATGGAATTATGARAGCAGAGTTCAGTTTACTTCTCTTGTATAAGGCAGCAATTAAGTCACAGAGTAAAGTTGTTTGTTTCTGTTTTTTTCTTGTAATATAACATAGGGTTTGCACGTTGTTGAAAAAGTACCTTAAAAATGAGTTTATTATTTTTAAAAAAAGATTCTATTAAAAAAAGTATTTACTCTGGATGATCACATGTATCTTGTGTACTAGCTTAAAATATACCCCTCATCTGATCTATCAAATGCAATATTTATATATTTATAATTTGCACTTATTCTGAAATAAGAGGGTCCTGAATGTTACTTAAAAAAGAACAAACACTCCACATTTGATTGATGAGCCCAAGTTGACTCAGAGGAACTACTCCTTACCATATTTTGTAGTTTTTGATTCTGTTGATGGCTCGCTCCACGTGAATCCTAAGGGAAGCAATCTGTTGGGTCTTGATGACATCACTTGGATCCATCTGACCATACTGACCTAGAAAAGGAGGAATGTTGAGGGATGTACCCAATGGTAACAGATCTTCAATGGTGAATCCCTTATCTGCCATCACAGAGTCTCCGTCGTCAAACTTTTGTGACAAAAATCCTCTACGAATGACAATTTCCCTGTCAGAGATACTTCCTGTGTACAATTGGCTTACAAATGTCACAGCTCCACAAGGTGCAATTCCAACCAGTGACTTKAGAGTTGTATGGTTCTTGTAAGAACTAAAAAGCTCAGAATTTAAACGAAGGCTGCTGGGCATCTCACACATAATTTCAGTCCAGTCAATTATAACTCTCGTAGAGGGGAATTTCTCCTTAAATGGTTCTGGCATTGTTTCTCTAAGAACTTGTTGTGAARGCCAAATGTTTATTGTTCCAAATTTCAAGAACAGAAAATTGATCCAGGCAGTAAAAGTCCTGCTAATAGTTGAGTCAGCCAGACCAAGCAAGTGAGACAGGTGGTGTATGCTAAAACCACGACGCAACCGGCACATAACCATAAAAAATTCAGTCTCTGTGGTAAGTTTTTTAGGCCTTCCCTTTTTAGTTTGCGGTTGTTGCTCTTCTTCTATGTCTGTATCCTGGTCATCATAATAATTATCAGGAACCCCTGTCTGATTGGCTGCAATATCTGATATTTTCTCCTTGTAATCCAGGATTCAAGTACTCATAAACTACTCGAAAAGTTGCATAGTTCGGGAAACCTGTGTAAAATGCCATATCCTTATCAGACGAACAAACCTTTTCAAGGCTAAAAAGTCTTGAAGATAGCAGCTCTTTTTCTTTCTCGAGGGAGTCGTTCTGGCACTTTAAATCAATGTTGTTTTCTTGAAGATCTTTGATACGTAATTCTGAGTCCTTTTTGAGTTCTTGGAGCTCAGTTTTCAATTGAAAAACCTCCTCTTTTGAAGACATGTTCTCATTGGTGAGACGTTGTAAATCAGCTCGTAGAAATTTTACTTCGTGTTCTAGACGTTTTACTTCGTCMCTTAATCGCACAAGTTCTTCATTTGAGCCATCAGGAGAACTCTCATTTATTTCTGAAGAAAGATCGACAGAAACATCTTCAAACAACGGAACATTATCTACATCTGAGGATGTTGAAGCCGCCATGTTGGTTTTACTAGAGGCTTTACCACGAGGTGAACATCGCTGTGTTGGCGCCTTTCTTTTCTTTGGGGATTCTTGTTGCCATTCGAATTTTGAAGAGACAACATTTTCTTTTACGAAAATCCGGCCATTTAAGGTTTTCCGGAGATCAGATGGACGAAAGTGAAGCGAGCATACTTTAGTTGACTTCACGATGTTGAAGTCCTTCCCCTCGTCTCTTCGTATAGCATGAATCCACTTTTTGCGTAAGATCGGGTCCTTTTGGAAGTTAAAAAAAGAAACAGGCCTTCCATTTACATCTACATAGCCAGTCTGTGAGCATTTCGGCACACAGCAATATGTTGACATTGCGAAAAAACACTCTAAAGATCCGACGCGGTTAAAAACTTCTATAACTCTTGTTTTGATGATTGAACGTATACTGACTAGCCTCGACATCATGTTTTTCGTTACCAGTCCGTCCGAGCTCACCGAGCCGGCCGCCATTTTTCGAATCAGTGTATACAACAAGAGAAATGCAATAAAGACCAAATAATACTGTTCGACAAGTTTGTAACACAAGCACGTCACTTTGAGATTTTTCAACTGCCTGACGTTTAGCCCCAGAACTAAATGCCAGGCAGTAAAATTTTTTTTGAAAAATCGTCGAAACAACTTTAATTTCAATTAATACAACAAGAGAAATGCAATGAAGACCGAAATAATACTGTTCGACAAGTTTGTATACACAAACACGCGGCACTTTTTCGACTGCCTGACGTTTAGTTCCGGAACTAAATGTCAGGCAGTTCCGGAACTAAATGTCAGGCAGTCGATTTTTTTTTGAAAAATCGTCGAAACAACTTTAATTTCAATTATAAGAGAAATGCAATAAAGACCGAAATTATACTTTTCGACAAGTTTTTATACACAAATCAAAACATTTAAAAAAATATATACAGACATACCAGAGTTGTGGAAGGGAAATTTTCTAACCCTCCCTGTATCAGACTGCCCCCCTTCAACCATTACCTCAACAATTTATCATTGCCCCAGCAGCCTATAATTAGGCCATTGTTTCTTCATTTTGAAGGGATAATGATTAGGATATTTGATAGGAAGCTAATGATAATAATAATTGGTTCACAGTATAAACAGATAAAAAATGTGTTTTATTTGGTTCAATAGCCACAACAACAAAGACAAACAAAGTATATCAAATGTTAGTCYAGTCCCAGCCCCTTTTCGACCCGCTCGGTTAACGGTCCTCTCGCAGGGAAAAGGGTCCAGAAGAACTTGCATGCGCAYGCGCCGGCATGAACCAATAAAAAACGAGTTGGGGAAAACTTATTATTATTTAACTTAAAGGCAACTGTAGAAGATTAAGCAAACTTGATCGAACACAACATTTACAAACAACATTTAACTGAAATAATTACGATTGTTCGATGCAGTGAGCTTCGTCGAGAGCAACACATACGATGTTATCTTGAAGTTTTCATGTTGTCTTTGACCTCTCTGGAGTTGAAACTCTCGAGGATCAACATTAACACATTGTAGTCGGTGAAAGCRCCGTCTCTCACTTCGACTATAAATGTGGCTGCATTTATCAGAGAAATAAAAGGAGAAATCACCAATACTATAGATGAACGGCAACCACGAAAGATGTCACATATCAACGGAAACAAACTSTATAAAAGGATTTGCCAAATCCAGTACTCAAACGGACGAACTCATCTATCTACTTTTCGACAGATGAAACCAAGCTTCCATTTGTTCTGACTTTGGTTTGAAGTCTTAACGCTCYTGACCCGAGAGCATATCTTACTGCTGATATGAAACCAGAATCGAATTTTGATGCGTATTCGCTTAAATTATCATTTGTTTTCCCCTGTCTTACGAAGGAAAAATCTTTGGCCGCCATGACACCGTATATATGCGGTGTATGGCGGCGCATGCGCATGCAAGTTCTTCTGGACCCTTTTCCCCGAGAGGACCGTTAACCGAGCGGGTCGAAAAGGGGCTGGGACTGGACTAATCAAATGTACAAAGTGAACAATAGATGCATCAAATGTCCTAATCAACTTCCTATCAAATATCCTAATCCTTCCCCTTTTTATATATCTATAGTTCTGGGACTAATTAATTGAAATTACGGTTGTTCCGACAATTTTTCACAACAAAAATCGACTGCCTGACCCGTTTAGTTCTGGGACTAAACGTCAGACAGTCGAAAAATCTCAAAATGCCGTGCTTCTGTTTGAAACTTGTCGAACAGTATTATTTCCGTCTTAATTGCATTTCCCTTGCTGTATTAATTGAAATTACGGTCGTTCCAACGATTTTATAAGAAAAAATTAGACTGTCTGACGTTTAGTCCTGGGAATAAGCGTCAGGCTGCCTGACGTTTAGACACTCCGTTTCATAAAAGCTTGAATGAAGCCTTTTATAATAATACAGTTTGTCATCCATATTCATACACTTTGCCTAATAATGCAGGATACGATTGCGTATCTACTCAATTTTTGGCGAAGTTTGCCCGCCCGAATATGAAACCCTTTTATACATGAGAAAGTTCGAGTAACTGCTTTTCTCAATATTCGCAAAGTTTGACTGTCCGCATATGAAACCTTTTTATACTTTTTAAAATAACAATAGTCACGCTAAACAAGAAAATCAACCTCAACCTTTAACTTGATTTTATGCACGAGTTTGTTCAAGTCACAGATARTGCCAAGGCAAAGGTGTTTTGTATACTATGCCCAGCAAAGACCACCGAGCTTTATACAAAGTAAAACTGCTTAAAAGGAGTGCTTAGTATTACTAAACAAACTTTCCCTAGTGTGGTTTCAACACAAACAGTCATTTGGCCGTGATTTGAAGAAATTTCTGAAATTTTGGACTGCCGTGCACCGAGTTTTTTTAAGGCCGTGACCGGCTGCCGGACATCTTAGACACTGTGTGTAAAAAACACTAAACTTCACAGAACTAATCTTTAAAACGACTGTTTTTTCTTAAAAAAGACATGTCTGATTGCAGCAGTGAATGTAGTGACTCTTGTTATATTTCTGAGTAATTATGAAGTTGAACTGAAACCGATCAATGCGCAAATGGCCACCTTATCGAAGACGATTTTGAATCGTCATGAACGCTTTAAAGTGCAGCGACGAACCGATTACARATGAAGAGTGGCTAGCTGAGTATTAAGGTGTTTCGATCATAATAAATAGCGTTTCGCGCGTATTTTTAAACTCCAACCACGTCGCAATGTTCGATTCAATTGCACTCAAACTTTCACAGAAGKAACAGTGATTATCGATAATTCTTGTWACTTTAAGTTTCGGCTTTCTTTATTGTCGTACACAAATTGTCTCGTCCAAACTAGAATGCACTGGGTACGAATCACGTGACGTTCGCAACTTCCATGTGCTATYTTTACATGGTGTCGTCGAGGTGTCGTCTTTGATACGAGATGGAAGACATGGATTCAACTTCAAACACGCTCAAATCTCTTACAAATCCACACACCATTCGCGGTATACCCACACTAAAAGATGTATATCTACTCGTATATCTTTCAATACTGTTAAAAAACAGTAAAACAAATTAAATACGACTTATTGTACCCTAATAAATTGATATCAATATATACCATCAAACGACTACTGAGTATGAAACAAAAAAAAAACGATTTTCTTGAAACTATATCATTTTAGACATAAAATCACCTATCGACCCCATGAGAATTTTCAGAATCATTTCTTAATAACATAATTGATATACTGACGAAGTTTCAATAAAATCTTAACTTAAAATTTCGATTTGTTCAAATGTACATCATCTTGCTCAAACAAGAAATGATTCTGAAAATTTTATTACAATCTCTGCGATGAGTTTCGAGAAAATTAATTTTGAAGAAAAATGAAGGTGTTTTTATTTTGCATTGTTTATCCAAATGGCTTCTCATTTTGGCAAATTAATTTATCAACAAGAATTATCGATAATCGCTGTTACTTCTGTGAAAATTTGAGTGCAATGGAATCGAAATTTGCGACGTAGTTAAAGTTTAAAAATACACACATGTCCAGGACTGGCCTATAGTGTCCCCTGTCCTCATGGGACAGTCCCAAGATCTCCAGTATACCAGTGACTACACCATAGTTTAATAGTGTTTCTCCCATCCCCAAGTCCCCCGGGGACTGTCTAAGGACATCCCCTAAGTGTCCCCTGTCCACTGGACTACACCATAGCTCACTAGTGTCTCTCCCATCCCCAAGTCCCCCCGGGGACTGTCTAGAGACATCCCCCAAGTGTCCCTGTCCCCTGGACTACACCATAGTTCACTAGTGTGTCTCCCATCCCCAAGTCCCCTCGGGGACTGTCTAGAGACATCCCCCAAGTGTCCATTGTCCCCTTGGCTACACCATAGTTCACTAGTGTCTCTCCCATCCCCAAGTC